GCTCGGCCGGGCAGGTCGCTGCCGGTGCTCTCTGTCTTTTAACGGGGGTCGGTGCCCGGTGGGAACAGGCTGAAGTGCTCCCGCAGCGCAGTGACCGCCTCCCGTGCGCGGCTCCGGGGGGCAGCGCAAAGTTACTCGGCGGAGTTTCTTCTCGCAGGCGGGAGGCTGCGTGAGAGCCTGTGCTTTCGTGGTGTGACAAGAAGCAACGATTCACGAGGTTGCGGCCAGTCACGCTGCAAAAGGCTTGTGAGATGTCTTGTTCATAAGTAGTAACAGCGAATTCAGCAGGGAAACCCGGCTGGGCTGGGCTGAACGGCAGGGAAAAGGCATGTGCAGGGAAGTCGAGGGATGCACTGCCCGTTCCACGGTTTGTGTAGGCGATCAAACGGATGAACCTGCACGGAAAACAGCTTTTTTTTTGTTTTGCTGAATTTACCATGTCTTAACAGCACTCTGGAAATTGATGGTGGAAATCACTGCTTTTCATAGATTCATGGCTTGCTTAATCCTGCTTTGTAAGGGATATGCCAAAGGAAATGAAGGAGTGTATTGGTTCCGCCTTTCCAGCAGGCTCAGGACAAGATGCAAGCTTACATCAGAGGCAGAGGAAATCCATCTAGCCTGGGCTTATATTTTTGGGAGCACAGTCTCAGATTTTCATCATCTTTCTTTCAGATTCAGTCCTGAATTTGTCCACCTGGTTAATAAAATTCATTAGAAGCTCAGAATAAAACCTTTGCAAAAGTTTTTTGTTTCATTTTACAAAAAAAAAACAAACAAAAAAAACAAACAAAAAAAAATGCTACAGATATAAATAAGAAATATCTAGCAAAATGGGGCCCCAAATACCTGGCACCCTACAGTATAAGTAACATGCTTAGTCCATGCAACCACTTTCACTTTAGGTAGGTTTCTCTTCCACAGCAGTGGGACCTCTCACCCTACCAACCTTCTCTGCCCTTCTGATGATCATTCATTTACTTGGACTTTTTACTTTGCTGCTCTGGTTTGGGTTTAGGGCTTTTTTTGGTGCAGCAGTTGGTTTGGAAGGGATGTTTCAATGTTTGCATAGATGGAAGTTGAAGTGTCAGGATCCTTAGTGCAGATGAACCTTCAGGCCAAGGGAAAACCCCAGAACAGAACAAGCTAGTTGTTCTGAGTTGTGCTGGAAAGCTGTACATAGAGACATAGAAGGTGAAAACGTAGTTCTGTACTAGCTTTACTTTTTAATATACTAATCAACACAAAAGTAGTAAAAGTGGTCATATTTCTGTTTGCAGATCAAATGCTTTTAAAAAAAGCTGACTTAACAGAAGTTTTACGAAGCACTCTCCTGAAAAAAACATATTCTTACCTGCCCTCCTAATCATAGAGTTTTTAAGTTAGAAAACTACTCAGTTGTATTTTTAGAAAATACAATTTAGAAGAAGGATCGTTCATGTGAGTCTCTCTCATTCTGTCATTTTTTTCCTTTTATTTGAGGAAGAGCTCTTCTTGAGAGACTCGCGTAGCTGTGACGGTACCAGTATTTCTCCCCTCACTATTACGGCCCATGAGCAGCACAGCTGGCCAAAAATGAGTAAAGTAAAGAGTCAGGCTACAAAGTCGTTACTTATAGTATGTTGTGTATATGGAGAAATATAGCTGTGTATTTTACTTCTTAGGATACTCTCAGTTCCCTGCCAGCCCAGGTCTCCCCAGCTGCTGCCTGGGCCCCTCTCTCAGTGGCAGTCCTGAGCAGCCAGCAAGGCTTAGACATGCTCACCCCAGGCGTATCTTATCTGCCCACCTTCCTTATGTGTAGGAGGTGCCGTTGCCAGGCTTCAGCTGCATCTACCAATGCTGTTGGATTTTTCTCCCCTCTGATCTTCTATAAAAAAACATTGTGGGTTTTTATTTGTGCCAAAAAGGCTTTGTGTCCCTTACAGTCTGTTATATATTAACAGAAGCTACGTTGTGGTGAGTGAGGTTGGGCTTAAGTGCCCAGTACAAAAATGCTGACTGTCAGATGTTTGCATCTCAATAAGGTTGTCTGTGCTGGAGAGCTTTCAGGGATAAAGTCCCAAATAGCTTAAGTATCATGCTGCATGTTTTCCTCTGCCACAATGGAGTACAGCTTAATAGCTTGCAAAGGTTTTTAGAACAGCACTTTTCACTTTTCTTACAAAAAAAAAATAATAAAAAAAAATCTCAAGGATATTCTTAAGGCCTAAGAATACAATTCATTTTATTAGCTATGTTTTAAGCTGGCATAATGACAAGGGTCCCTAAGCCTTAAGATACTGCTTTTTATATATTCCTTATTATGGAATGAGACTCTCCCCTAGAAATAAAATTACCACCAGGATTGAGTAGGATGATCTAGATCTCCCTTGCTAGGCAAAAAACAAACACTTCATTTTTCAATTTAGAATAAAACCTAACATCTGTTCTTCAAATCTTGAGGAAATGAAGTGCCTTTTGGGGCTAGGCACTTAAAGCTGGTTTCTTTGTAAAGGGTTTCAAGCTCTTTAAGATTTTTGTAATTTCTTCTAGAGATTCAACAAACCTATCCAACTTTATTAAGGTCCCGTGTACAAGTTTATCTGGGCCATGATCTTCTCTGAAATGGCAGTTTTCAAGGGCTGGAAAATAAAATAGTGAACATAATAATATATTGGCTGGGGAAATTAAGGACAACATCTAAATTCCTGCCCAATGTCTGTTTGCTCATTACTCCCACTGGTGCTGGTGTCTTCTCCACTAGAAACATTCCCTCCCTCTCACACTCTTCAGCATCTCTGGAAGCTCTCCCCAAAGCCTCTGTGGAGATTACTGTATTTGCCTGCCTGTCTCTCAAACCTGCACACTGTTCCTTCTGCTCCACACTTTACCTCTCCTCTGCCTGCCTTACTTGAATGTCGATAAAGCTCTTTCAATTAGTGCACCTATCTACTGCTTCCCATATCTGATTATTTTTGAAGTCCGTTCAGTCAGCATTCTTCATGTTTCTTCTTCCAGTACAAACTTTTCCGGTCACATACTTGTTCTACTTATTTTATTACTCTTCCTTTAATTAGGTGTATTCAGCTTGCTCTGCTGTTGTCCCATTAAATCTTCCCTCTCTGCTGCTTATATTTCACCTGCTGGATAAACTTCATACGCACTGCTGTACCTCAACTAACCTATCTGCCTAGTTATTTCTGCACTATCTTTCCATAAATGCTGTCGCTTTAAATTGCTATGACTCAGTGAAATCTTACTGCCAGCTTTACATAGAATTGTCTGTTCCTCTTTTTATCCATAGGGTTTCAAAACCTGTCTTTAAACCTTTCCCGTTGAATCTCTTACCATAACTTCCCTCTAACCTTTCTGTAAAATTCTGACCTATGCTCTATGACATTTCTAATGTCAACTCTCCCCCTAAAAGTAACATAATCCCCAAACATAGTACTACTATCCCTCTTCAGTCTTCCTTTTAACCTTTCTTTATTAATGCTTTCCAAGCCAATGCTCTGCTGTCCTACAACAATACTTGCTCTTCTCTCTCCAGCCACTCCTGCTGCCTTAGACCACATGCCTAGGATGAGACAAAACCTAGCAAAACACACTTCGCTGGTGTCTTCCTCCTTGCACTGTTTTGTTATTCCCACTGATATCTTTAACAGAAGATTTAATAATCAAAATAATTTTAAAACTGAGGTTGTGCTCCTTAGTCTTGACCATTGGGCTCTTTTCCATGACTTCTGAATGGTAAATTCTGGTGAATCCCAGTGAAGGTGTGAAACTGTGAAAAACTACATAGAGCTGGGGGTAGTCTCATTTCTGGATGAAGTGATTGCATATTTTGTCTTTAACTAACTTCCTTTTTTAAGTATGTAGAGGGAGTTTTTATTTCTGTTTACATCTGTACTGTTTGCTTTTCAAATTTTCTCTTGATCTTTAGTTTCTTTCTTCTTACCTACCAAATTCTGTTATCGCTTGGTCTTGGTTGGTTTTGTGATTTTGTCTAAACGCAGATTCACTGCTATCCGTTGCAATTTAATACCACTTTCTGCTACTTCTGAGCTATGCACACCATCTAAATCTGAGAGGCTTAGCCTATCGTAATGGATTTTTATTTCTTTTTCTTCCAAGAATTAATTACATTTATTCTTCTTCTCCCCTGACTGGAGCCTAGAGTCACAGTGCTGACCTTCTGGCAAGGTTTTCCTCTGTAAGATTCTAACAATTAATTATGTTGTAGTCATTGTAGTCAGTGGTTTAATTAGATTACTTTGTTATGACTTGTGCCTGGAAACTCTTACAAATCTGACAGTCCCATTTTTACTGAAATATCAAGTTTATCCTATTTGCTGTGCTACTGAATTGGATGCTTAAAACATATTTTTTTCAAGTGCTAGGGCCTGATTTGAAATCTTGCATGTAAATACAACAGAGCTTTGTGAGATAGCTGGATCTACAGGAGGTATTAGCATTCAAGATCAATCCAAAAGTTTTGTCTTCTAGTCTGCTTTCTGCATATGTTTTACCATTATTGAACTCTGCTATCATTTGACCAAAAATAACTTGAAGTTTCTTTGAACTAGTTTGGTTTGACAGACAAACTAATACTGTTTCTTGCAGCAAAGTTCCTTTATCAAGCTGATGGAGTGCAGTGTGAAAAGGAAAAAACAAACTTACAGAAGTTTACTTTATTTTTCAAGTATTTTATCTTTTAGTATGAGACATTAGTGTGGAGATTTCCATCTGTCTCCAGCTGGTAGCTGTCAGACAAGAATTGACCATGGGGATGGGAATGGGTGCAGAGGACTTCAAAGGCATGATGAGAACATTTTCTGCCATAGTTGACAATCTTCACTCTGTAAGGTGGTCTGTGGCTGCTTCTCGTGTTCTGCACCATATAGGTCCTTTCTAGGGCCAGAGTTGAACAGTGAACCAGGTTCACAGTGAACCAGTGAACCAGGTGTATGCCCTGGAGCAACCTGTTGAGGAGAAGGGATGAAAAACAGACCCGGAGTCAATATGTTACACAGTAAAGTATAAGAAGGTAGAGAGAAAATGAACCTGACAATCCTCAGAGTGCTTGGGAGAGAAGGGAAGAAGGGTTGGATGCTTTAAGGCAGGCTATAAATATGCTTCAGGACCATTTTGCAAAAGGAGTGGAAGCAAATCCCCAGATGGCAAATCAGCAGGGCCAGGATATGATCACCGTACAAAAGCACTTGGAAGAAACAGTTTTTCCATAATGGCCCTCATTTTTGTGTTCACTGCGAAGAAACTAAAGGAGCATCTCACAGCCAAGTTCTTAATTATGGAGGATCCACCAAAATCAAAGTATTGGAAAGAAACAGAACAAATTGAGAAAGTAAAAAAATTTGTAATTCTTAAATTGAGTGGCAGTGATAAAGTAGCAGATGAAATACAGTGTAGATAAATGTAAAGTGACTTAGGTTGGGGAAAATTTTCTCAGGTAGCAAGTGACCTAGACATACTTGAGCAGCGCTGAATCAGTCAAAATAAATGTTCCTGCAGGATGTTTGTGCTGCCTCACAGTAAGAATGCCAGGGAGTGTAATGCAGAGAATTGGATTTTTCCGTATGTTGGCTCATTAGTCCAGCCTCCACATTTCCCCTTTTAGGAATGAACTACTTTCAGACAGAGGTGCTTCTGGTATCTTTGTATTCCTCCACAAAGAGAGAACTTAGGTAGCTAGCCTTGGGTGTTTTCTGTGACATGTCTTTGTGCCACATTGTTCTCTAGACCCCCAAGTTCTTGGGGATACCCTGTGCTACCGCTATCTTAGTGAGTGGGGGCAACCACCAGGTTATCAAGGTGTTGTGTCCGCTAACATGGTGTCTATGACTGATAATGAAAAGCTGACTGTACCTACCCATAAGACAGAAATAATATCATAGGTTTAAGTTGTCCTTAGGATAACCTTAAGTTATGGGAATAACACTAGCTTAGTTGTTTTTTATACTTGTGATAAGTTTCCAGCACCTACAGAGCCTATTCATTCTTCCTAAAGACAACATACTGGCCATACCTCTATACAGGTAACTCTCCTTACATTTTAAATCATTGTTAGACACATTTTGGTCCATGCCAAAGACAATTTGGTTCATGTCTTTCTGTGTCTCCAAATTTAAGCATAGAGTCAGAGAAGCATAGAATGGTTAAGGTTGGAAGGGACTATAAAGATCATAAAGATCCAACCTCCCTGTTATGAGGAAGGACACTTCACACTAGACCAGGCTGCACAAGGCCTCATAAGGGTCCAGAGAAGGGCCATGAAGAGGATCAGAGGGCTGGAGCACCTCTGCTACAAAGGCTGAGAGAATTGGGGTTGTTCATCCTGGAGGAGAGAAGACTTAGGGGACACCTTATAGTGGCCTTCCAGTACCTGAAGGGGCCTACAGGAAAGCTGAAGAGGAACTTTTCACCAGAGAGGGTAGTGATAGGAAAAGGGGTAATGGTTTTAAACTGAAAAAGGGTAGATTTTGGTTAGATATTAGGAAGAAATTCTTCACCATGAGGGTAGTAAGGCATTGCAATAAGTTGCCCAGGGAGGCTGAGGAGCATTCAAATGAATAATTAGAAACCAAATCCAGTGGTTACTGGCTCTCTGTCAGTCTGTGTCTTGTCTGCACTGGTTACAAATCATAACCCTCCAGGGCTTTTTTTATGTTTTGCTTTTTTTTTTTTTTTTCCAACTAACAGCCCTCTATCTCTTTAGAATTATTTTGATTTGTCAAAAGGCCAATACAAAGTAAAAATTACTTAGGCCTCTCAATTCTTACGCTGTCCCTCTTTGTTACCTGCATTCTGCTGATCTAACCTCATGCAGGTGATGAGCTGCACGTGGTTGAAAAGTGCAGTGGGCACAAAACTGTGTCCCAAAAGAATCATAGTTAGGGCTGATGGATATCCTCAGAGAGCTGACTAAGAAACTTGGCCTTCACTGAAATGCAGCAGATGATGCATGCAGAATTTAGTGTGATGGCTTTTTACAATGCTTTGTTTGAGCTATCTGTTCATTTGGCGATTATTTTTCTCCTGCACCACAGTATTCCTAGGGCCTGCAGTGTTTCATATGATGGACCATAACGAAGTTGCCTTGTAAAAGGAATCAGGCAGATATTTCAGGAATGTAGTACTAGTTATTAGTAGCAATCATCTGGAAGTGTCCAAAACAAACACAAACAACAATCAATCAATGGCTGTGACATATCAGTGAGTGTAAGCAGAAGAGGGGGAAGCACTTGGAAGAGTTCAGAGTCAGTGTGTATGAAACCAAACAGACTACAAAGGTAGAGAATAGCTTAAAGAACCTAAAAAAATTCAACTTCCTCTTGTTAAAATTGTGTTGATATTTTATACTATGAAACTTATTTCAATGATACATGGCCATGCTGTAAACATCTAGGATGAAAGCTTGGGGATGAATTTTCTTGTGAACAATTGGAACCAAAAGTATGTGCCTATATTGTAACACTGTTTGTTATATAAACAAACATGACAATGCCTTAAAACTATTTTTGTGTTTTGCTTAATATACATTATTTGCTGTTTCAAGGTGAAAATTGCCAAGATATGTAAGTTTACAAGCTTTAAATAGACCTTAAAGAGATGTTTTAAGTTTAAAAGTTACTTGAAAGAGGACAAGCTGCATACTTCATCCTTTGCATAAAAGCAAACACCCAGCCAATGCTCAGTTTATACTATTTATTCCCAAATTAGGCATTAGGACCCAGCAGGCCTTGATTTCTCTATTTGCTTTATTGACGGACACTGAAAAAGGGATAAAAGGGAACTGATTAAGAAAGAGTGAATGGCTTTTTGCCTGCAAACATCTTGATGGGTTGAAAATAAGGGAAGAAGTCTAAGACCTGTCAGTGCTTTCACTTTGAAATTGTTCAGTGAGAAGGAGGAAAACATGAAAGAGGCCTATGGAAAATTGTGCTGATTCCTGAGAGGGGAATAAGTGGATTACGTGGGAGCAGGTGACTTGTACAGTGTGCTTAGGTTATGGTAAAACTACCCTCTGGGATTAGAGAGAAACAAGAGTAGGTGGGAACTAATGGCTAGGTAGAGACATTCCTACTGAATAGAGATTAGATTATCAGTGGAAAAAAAAAAAATAAAAAAAATTCCAGTGGCCAGGAAAAGATCAGTGGGGTTTTTGAAACTATTAGAGATGTATGCTGAGGAACTTGGGACAAGGAGGTGGGAGGAAATTGGGGGTAGGAGATATGTAACAGGTGGAGGAAGAGCATGGAAAGTCTTCGGGATGCCGGAGTTCTGGAGAGAGGATTGTGGATAGTAGAAAAGTCAATAAAGATAAAACTGTTGAGCAATTGACTCAGAAAAAAGTGAGCTGTGATTAGGTCTGAAGGGGAAGTGAAACAGGAGAGATAAGTAGCAAATTACTAGAAAATGCAAGCAGAAGGATGGGAGAAGATCTAATGGGACAAAAGTAGGCAGCAAATACCCGAAGGACTGCATGAGGAGGGCTGAACGTCCAAGGAGAGTCTTAATGACTGGCGTGGCACACAGGAGTGACTGAGATGACTGA